ATGTAAATTAAGTTATTGTTTGTTTGTCACTTATGCTTCGACTAGTGAGTGCTTAATCCGTAGTTTGACGTATAGTACTATAGTACTATTATCAAATGTAATTGTTGAATCTTCATTCGAGTAGTCACTCTCGGCTGGTTTGCTCCTGCAGTCAGTACTTATACAGTAAACCAATGGATACTAAAGAACAAAGACACCGGAGGCTGTGTGGTACTAGAAGTTCAGCGGAGCTGTACGCTTTTAGGTGCATTTCCATCTCGGGTAGGAGAACATTCACTTAATCTTTTAGCATTACTTCACCGAATCAGTTCAGTTCCTGCAACCAATAACCATGTACCTTCTCGTGGCGGCTTTTGGTTGGTGTCTTTTGACCTCTCATTCAGTCCCGGACAATCAGCAGCAGCCATCACCGTAGACGTCGCAGGTTTTCGCCGGGGAGGTCATCTTTCTCCACGAAGAAGCCACCATAGTGGATTGAAAACACTGTGACATGCCCGTCATTAATTGGAGCATTCGCTATCAACATGTTTAAATGCGTGTAACACTGGTTTATGCATCGTCGGAAAAAAGGTTCATGTGGTATTGGGGTTGACATCATTGAATCGTCTGCGAAGCTGCCTTATCCTCAAGTCTATTTGGGGCAAAACACTCAGAAGTTGGTTGATTCTGTTTTTCTGGTAATGTAGCTAGGATCTCAATCAACAATTGACTCATTTTACACCATGGGATTATCGAATAATCTTATCTATATATTATGGAGCATACGCAAAACGTTGTCATATCTCCCTCAATACTGTATGTAGAACTGCCGCATAGCTAGACGTTGTTTGCTCTTATGTCTGATTTCATCATTCGGTTATTTACAATATTAGCTGTTTTTAATCGAGTAGCCATGTATTAAGTCGTTTTTATACAATACATTGGATGATGACGCGCTTGTCCATGGTTCAGCCGAATAACACTACATTTAAATTGATAGCATCTACTAGAATTTCCAGCAATGGTTATGTTTCAGGTACACTTTTGAGGTTGCTTTCACTTTGTAGTTGAAGTAACATGGCATTGAGTTTTTCAATACACATAATTGAATCAACTGCTCCACTACTCTCATCCTTTAAAACTTCTGGAAAGGTCAGTGCGTGTTGCATCAAAGCTTAGGCTCACTGATTTCATCTCTTCAAGGTCACTGACCTTCTAACTCATTTAGAAGGTTTTATACCTGATATTGGAATAAAAAAAGTAAATCTACCATCATGGTCTCTTTGCTGATAAATGACAGAAACCACTATTTATCAAAACAGAGATAAGTTCATTCGCCCATCGGAACAAATGGTCGTCTCCGGGTAGCGATATCAAATTTAGCGAGTCCCATTGCATTGATTGTCCCCGGATAAAGAAGTAGAATGATGCTGTAATGAGCTCCGACTTAATGCTTCTGGCTGAATACAAATAGCGAACCTTCGTCGTACAGTGTTTGTTTTCTTTTGACTTCGTGATAGCTTATATTTTTGTTAATAAGATGGAGGAGACACTCAGCGGCCTAAATTGCTCGTGGTTTCGCTGCTTGCCAAAGTTCATACCGCCCTAGTACGTGGGTACCCAGAGTAGTTCCGTGCATTGAATCGTTTTGCGTTTGCTTTCAATAATCTCAGCCCTAGTTGTTCTTCTCTGGAAACCAAATCGGTTTACATAACAGTATTAGTCGTCACCAAACAATTTTTTCGAAGTTCTTTTCTTTTTGAACACTCGCGCCACTATTGCTGTGCAGCACATTCGATGCAGTAAGAGTGAGAGAGATTCCCCCGAGCATGTGTGGTGATCGAAGGAATGCTGCCCGTGTAATTTCGGTAAGTCAATGTACCTCACTGTAATGCAGACGGAATTTCAGGTGTTCTATAGTCAAAAGCCTGTGTTCCTTATAACGTACTCATGCAAGTTAGCACACAATTTTTAACTGGTTGCTCTGCTCTGTGTATTTTATCACCCGAGAATAATTTCTGCCGCACTATATTTGTTCTGTCTATTTTGTAGCTGGAAAATGATGATCCCCTGGAAAGTTTGCATCAATGCGCTAGACGTTTGGTGGACAGAGCGCGAATGGCCGCTTTTGTCCCCGACTTTCAATCGCCTTTCGCTAGCGAAGCCCGACGCTATGGCATCAACATTGCAGGTCCGTCACTCAGCTTATATTCCCGTTTATATTTTGTTTTGTTTCAAGTTGATTTCCTCCATTCCTGTTTAAAATTCACTTTTATTATGTTTTTGAAATAGAAAATCTCATGATAAGTAGCTAGCATAGTGCCGTGTTAAATGAAGTTTTTCTTTTATTATGCAGGTAAGGTTAAAATACTCACGAAATTCTTTAACCTGCCCTTTAATTTACGTCATACGTTTTCTTCTTGCATATCCAACAATATTTTGTCGCTCCGTTCATCTGTTCACCCTAATCGACAACAACATCCACCGAGGTGTGAACGTTAGTTCCCCTTATCCCATTTCCATTGTCCGTTCACTCCAATCGAACATGTGGATTTTCATCGGAGCTCAACGGGCCAACCATCTTATCAATCCATAACTGCTCGATCTTTCGTACAACCCGTCACTCCCGAGGGTACTGATCCCCATGTTCGTGATAAGAGGAGTCGGGGTAGATAATCGTTGTTACAGATTCCATTACGAGTTCAAATGCAGCAAATAACACACTAATTATATTTCTTTTTACCCTCTGTGGTGAATCTATACCCTTCAGTGAATGTGAAAATGCGAGGCCTTGGACTATGCTTTGTAATGAAAGATGTGTTGTAAATGAAAATTTGATGTTAAATCCCTATAGAAGTGTTTGGATCAGCCAAACCAAAAACCAACAATTTTCGGTTGACGACGTTTCGATCTTCTTGGAAGGCTTTTTTCAAGTCAATTAACGAGCGAGCATTAAACAAAACCGTGAGAGAACCTGTATCAGTTGGAGGTGCTTTTGATTGGTCTAGCGGAATCCTATACGGAGCTAATATTATGAGCACGACGCACAACTTCTTCAAAGACATCCGTTCCAAATTTGGATCTGATACCGTGAAAATCTGATGCATTGCCAGAATACATAAAGGTAGTAATTGGCTATTGGTTCGCTTAATGCGAATCTTAACCAAACACACCACCCCCGGTGCCCGGTTAATTTTCGGATGAGGTATTATTCGCTATTTAACTTTCAGCAGAAATCTTCGTAACATTTGTTTCCTGAGCGTTAGGTTTTATTAGCTTTAAGTTGATTGATCTGTGCTCTTTGTGTTAGTAGTGATGGTGCTTACGTGGTTAAAGTCGTTGTCACTGACGTGCTTTGAGTTCTATGGTTCGAGGTTGGATTCCTGCCACCGCCACCCAACTTTGATCATAAGAAGCTTCACTGTTATCCAGCTCACTGGTACGCATATCTTGTTTAGGCTTTCTGTGGTTGACTGCGGTAAGTTCCAGGTTATCATGAGTGGGTAGTAGGTCATAGTAGTTCTGATAATTGTTCTTTATTGTGTTCATCACACAGTGGTTTGTATGGTTTTTATCTTGTGGTACAAATATCTCATATACTGAGTACAGTTACAGGTTTTTTTTCCTTTGTACTACTATTTAGTTCTTTGCTTCCTTTGCCATCGGCTTCATAGGTGGTGTGCCTGGTGATATCACTGTTATCCTCGGACTAGTTATCAATGGCGATGAGATTCACGCGGTAGAATTAACGGATGCAACCGCCGTGCAACGTTCATCGCGATCCACGACTCGCCGACGATTGCATCGCCTTTCCGAATCCGATTTGGAACGCATATTTGTGTCGCCGACTCTCCGATCAACCTCACACTCCGTACCAAGACAGCAGCCCTGATTGATTCTCGTAACCTCTTTGTTTCGAATGGACTAAATGTATCCATGACAGTTTTGGTGGACTAAATAGGGACTGTTTGTTCCTCACCTGGTTGTATTCACATTGCAGATTTGCCATGTGCTCAGCATTTGGTGTATATAATTACTTAGTCTTAGTTTCGATCAGTCGTGATCTCGTAAACACACGTTTTTCCCCGTGTTCACAAACTTGAACACCGAACTTCGTCCTCTGTCGGAACCGCTCTCTATTCCAACCGAATTCTTCTCAACTTAGAACGATTCTTTCATTCAATCAATTGTCGTATACTTGATCACATTTTCTTTTTCTTTCTTCCATCGTTCTTACCATGTACGTTCGTCTTTCGCTTATTTTCGTTTTTTTTTATCACATGAAGCACGTTCAGAACATTTATCTGTTTTGCACTACTTTCCATTTCGGATAAACCAGTGTTTGGATTCGTTATTTTTGACATTATGATCACTGCAGCCACTATTTTGCTCCTCCTTTGTTCTCAATTTTACGCTGCCAACGTTTTACCATACTGTATCTCCTCGAGCGCGGAGTATCACGTGGTCGATCGTAGCTCTTCCTTAATCAGTTTTCAACCACTAACCTCGGTCCGTCGGTGACGAAATGTAGTTTTATTTCATCACAGGTCAACTCAAGCATAGACGTTAATTTTTATTGGAGCGTTTGGCGAGATACAACCAATAAGCATATTTTTGACATCCACTTTTGAGGACAACTAACTAATAGCTGAAGAAAACAAGTCGACCATATTCAGTAATATAATCCTCTGTAGTGAGCTCCAGAATTCCCCTGTAAGGATCTGCTGAATGTGGGATGTGTCAGCTTCATGAACATCATGAGTATCAGCATTCCACAGATTGCTCATGCTCATTATGTGCTGAAATATGGCGCATGCGGTCCGCGATTTATCCAGGGACAGGCCTGATTCTGTGAACTTTGCACTTGTAGAATCGGTAAAATAATTAAATGCAAAAGAGGATGCTCACATGTAGTGTTAAAGGTATTTCGTGTAACTACAGAGCTCCCTAGAAGGCTCAGGAGAGCCTTCTATGGGGGTGCGTGCATTGTTCCCTGTGGTTTGCTAGTCGAAAAATTTGGATCGCTTGGTGTTTGTTAACGAAAATAATGGGAATCATCGTTCAAAATAGTTTCGGTTGGTTTGGCATGTGATGGTGGTCTACAAGACACATATGGGGAAAAGAGTGACATGAAAAAGCGTCGGCAGGCCCATCGTCGTTTCACCAATTGCCTCGTTTTTCGTTGATATTCGGAGAAAAAAAGGAGGACCGCTGCAGGTGATATGAGCCAATAAAAAACTAACCTGGTCTGTCAGAGAAACGCCTTCGACCCCTTTGTAGTGCTCGAGCAGTGGGGAAGGAAGCGTGCCGAACCTCTTGCTGCGGTCTCCTGACCGAAGTATCCTCCCTAGTTTTAAGGTCAAAACCTGGGAGAGTACAGAAGAAAGAACGTCCGTTAGGCGAAGACAAACACAATAAAAAGAAAAGATTTTTGCGTTTTGCTTGTGTTTTTTAGAAAGGGCCAGGGATAAATACATAAAAAACTGAGAAAGGACAAAACAATTTTTGGTTAACCAAAAATCCTTTCATGCATAAAAACTTTTGTGTACAGATATAAGAATACATAGGTGAAAGAAAAAATATATCGCAGTCTAAATGAGTCTGAACGTTGGTAAAAGCCTCCCAGTCACCTTAGTCGAGAATAGCTGGTGGGGTCGGTACCCCACTTCTATTAAAAGACGCAAGGTGTGACCAAAAGTCAATTCTGCAGTTGTGGGCTGGAGATCAGCGTCCAAAGCTGATTTGCAACGTAGGAAGCCCGATGGTAAATATTCCTTGTAGTGACTCTACTTTATCACTCGTGTTTTACGTCACGTTCTTGTTTTACTGAATGTTAACAAGCTTTGCCTCCACACACTTCCACCTTGTTCGTTCAGCCACTGTGTGTGATGTTAAAATAGTGTTTGGTTCAGTTCTCACATTCTGCGCTCTCTTTCGTGTAAGTGGGCTGTAGAGATCGTCTGATCGTATTGCACATTTGTTGCGTCTGGTAGGGAGCGTCGCGGGTCCATCAAATCGCTGGTTCAAAACTGTATCAACAATAAACATTTTCTGGGGATTAAGATTAGCCACCATAAAGAGGAGAATTACTGAATTCGACTAAGATTGTTGGTGGAAGAGCCTAGACTACTGTAAAATGATATGGGTTGGCACAGCACAACATACTCTGTATATTTCAAAATACAAACAAGAGAACACGAGAAATATCACAAATATATGTGAAAAACTAAGTATGGAGATGACACAGCTCTTTAAAGAACTCTATCTGGTAGTTTGTTCTCTATCAATAAAATAGTTGGATAGCCAAGCTAACAATTGTTTACGACATTCCAACCACGCTAGGTTCTCAAAAATTTTGATTGAGAAATGAAATCAAATGCTGGAGAGTAGTCAAGATAAATACCAAAAAGCCTCCACAGAGGTTTCCAAACTCAGTGAAAAGTAAAAAAAAGGGTGATGACTGCGTCCACCGTGAATCTGTGAGGCTTGGGAGAAAACTGCAAAAGATCACTGGCAATAATTAAACATTATTGAAGTTGTTTGAGGATAGCCATTTCAATTAAATTAGCAGCTGAAGATATCAACATATTCGGACAAAAAAATTGAAGAGGATAGAAGATTTGAACGCTTTGGTTACCGGTTTGATTGTGGCCGGCGCATTGATTGACCTGTGAAAGTCCTTCCGGTAGAACCCAGACAATCCACCTTGGTTCCACATTTCGTGAATTTCAAATTTCATTCACCTGACTTCATCAGCTTCCTACATACATAGATATTTGACGGTAGTGGCGTGGCATCCCAGTTATTAGGATTTCTAAAGACCACCTAATTTAAATGTATTTTTAAAAAAGAACGTCAAATGTGATTTGTTAAAATTTAATTTGTTTATTCAACCTTAATTAATTTTGTACGGAAAGTATAAATACCGCAACCTAATGGCGACGATCAATTCTGCGCTCATGTACACCATGGCTCATTTTGATGATACGGTCGTTTTTGAACGAATGGTAAAATATTGCCATGGATCGCTGGACGGATTATTGGAGGACTTCCGTAAATTCCAAAGGGTTACCTGCACTTCCTTCTACGTTTATGCGTCAATGACAGCCGAACAACTGATACGAGAAAGTTTGGTTGGAAACTGACCACCTCCTTTGTATATTTACACATCGATCCCATTATTTGACTTTGTTTGTTTTCAGTCAGTCAGTTTGCACAGGACCGGAGATGGCCAAGGCCAATCGCGCATCCAGAGTTCCTTCGGTAGTAAGCCACGTGTTAGCCCCTACCACTGCAAATGTTCTATACGTTTTTTTCTCGTTCCAGTTGTCTGCGCCTCTGCAAAGGAAGAGAAAGGGGTAAAGTATATTCTCCTTTTGTTCAAGCGAGAGACCTCACATTTGAGAGAGTTTCTATGTTTGGGTGGTTAGTAAATGGGAAAGCCTACAACTTCTTCCAAACCTTAACTTATGTGCCTACTTCTGTAAATAAGTTGTGTTGACTACCCTGTTGCTGAAGAAGTTTGAGCGCACCGCTAGTCTCGTGCGCACTCACTTCGGCTTGCATATGTGCCCCCTAGTATTGCTTTTTCTCCTCTCAAAGAACACTGCTTGATCCGTACCTGATAGGCCATTCATAATTTTGAAGTTCTCTATCAAGTCCACTTGGATTCTTCTTCTTTCCAATGAGAGGAGTCCAAGATCCTGCAGTCTCTGATTATATGAATTCCCTCGCTATCCTTCGATCATCCCTGTGGCTAATCGTTGGATCCCCTTGAGAAAAGCGGCGTCATTTTTAAAGAAGGGAGCCCAAGCTAGTTTAAATACTCTAAATGCGATCGATCAGTGGCCTTTTACAGAGGTACGAATACCTCCGGTTTCCTACATGTAAGTGACAATCTCAATCTAATAAGCTCTCTACGGGCACGGTGCGCCGCTGCGGCACACTTTTCTGCCCATTTGTAGTCTGCTGTCACTATGATTCCTAAATCTCTAGCTTTCTGTGTCGTTTCTAATGAGAGACCTCAATCCTGGAAACTGAAGGCTGACCACTCCCAACTATTAGCCCNACTCTTTTCTATGTTGAAAGGCAGATCCCACGTACTTGACCACTTGAGCACTTCGCTTATGTCCCTTTCTAGTTCCGCTCTCCCATTTAATCCTACCACCTTAACGTCGTCCGCGAATATATAGCTAAGCGAGCCAAGGGGTTCAGGAAGATCATTGATGTAGACCAAGTAAGGGAGTGGACCTGGAACTGACACTTGAGGAACACCACTAGCAATAGTTTCCACTGGCGAGTTCGCTTCTACGACTCGAACATGGAAGGTCCAGTCGGTCACGGAAACTGTGGGCCACTTGTAGATGTTACCCCTTATCCCTATAGCATTTATCTTGGCCAAGCGATAACATATTGAGTCAAATACTTTGCTTAAGTCCAGATAGCATACTTCCACTTCTTTCTCCTCGTCCAATCTCGCTAACTTCATCTAAAAAGTGCAAGAGATTGCTCAGACAGGATTTTCCCTTCAAGAACCCATGCTGTGCCGCAGTCAGCGATCGGTGCTGAGTGAGGTACTCGCATATGTGGGTTCTGATAATTCGTTATAGCGCTTTGCACAAGTTCCTTGTGAGACTGACTGGACGATAGTTTCCCACATTTTGTTTTGGCCCTCCCTTGTGTATGGAGATCACTGTTGCCGTTTTCCAATTCTGTGGTATCGTGCTCTACTATAGAGTTCTGTTGCACAGGCGGCAGTGCGGGTACCCTAGAACCTCAGTTGAGTGTTTAACTGAGACTGGGTGGATACTATCTAGTCCGGCGGATTTGGTGGCTTTAAGCTCAACAAGAGACCAACGCACTTGTTCCAACCGCACCTGTAAATCGGGGATACTCGGTCAGAGTGAGCGCGCAGCATCGAAATATGTAGTGCGTAATGGGAATCGGTCGGGAAATGCACGTTAATCCGCAAGAGTCTGAAACGGGGAGCACAACAGCCGCAGTTATAAATCGATATGCGAATAAGGCAGCCAGCGAACACCAGGTTCTCGTTCGATACACAACAGCGAGAAGACAGACTACCGTAGCACAGCGTATATTTGGTACAAGACAATTACTCGTCAGTGGGGTCTGTACAAGGGGGGTTATTGGAGGGGGCTGACGACTGTTCGTACGTATGGTTCGGTTCGTCTGGCTCTGGTTGCCGATGGCCAGCTCCGACACAGGCGATCTGGCTGTCTGTGGAAGGAAAAAGGGGACAGAGAGGGATTATGGTGTAAAATAGAATAATCACATAAAACATCGACCATCCAATGACTATTGCCCTGTAGTATGTACCAAACAGGGAGAAGACTCGGAGAGCTGGAACGAAGTTATATTAATACCAACGTAGCAACACTATAGGGATATGGAGTGATTATAATACAAAATGGTAAGGTTACGTGTGGGTGTTGTCTTGGTCCTTGTTCTCAGCGTCTTCTATCACGGTGTTAGCCGCCACGCAGTTTATGCCGCCTGTAAAGGGGAAATAAGAGTGCCTGTTAGTGTCACTTCGGTATCCAATTACCGAACGTCAATCAGTTTCGGTTTCACCCCACACTACCCCCTTCTCCCGAAAGCGTCGTCCTCGACGTCCTAGCAGAGCCTCCTTCGACTGGAACTTCTACTTCAACGGCGACCTCAGGTAAGCTTGCAGTGTCTTCGTTGTTGTCTGTCTCGGGCGATGCGTGGGGCAGGTACGGTTTCAGTTGGTTGTACTTCTTGGTGGTGCGTATCGGGGAGTTCCAACATGGAAAGAATAGGGTGTGTGAGGGGAATGCTCTCCTCTCTGGCGGGCTATCGCGGNGGTCTTGATCAAGTCGCTGATTTTCTGCCGGGTGAGGGGGGCAGTTGTCATCGACAGGTTTATCTGTCGTGTTGGAATTTTACATCCTCGCAGGCGTATCGTGTCGTGCAGCGTTTTTAAAGTGGCGGTTGAGGTGTCTATTTGGCTTTCCGCCGCCTTCAGGAGGTCCAGTCCAATTATGCACTCGAATGGGATTTCCGGTGAGATTATAAACGTGTGCCGTAATCGCTGTGTTCCCAGGTTGAACGTTGCGGTTAACACTCCTTCCGTCTTTATTGTGGAACCGTTTGCGGCCACCAGATGGTCGTGGTTGCTGTGTTTTATTCCCCCCGGTAAGTTCCGGGCGATGTCTGCCCGGATCAGGCTGTGGGAGGAGCCAGTGTCTATCAGGCCGGATATGGTTCTCTGTTGGAATGTCAGTGGAGCGACGAGGGACGGCGCGTAGGGAGAAGTAGATGAGACTGGGGTGATGATATTTAATGGGGGCTCACCTCTTCTGGTTCCGCTCCAAGGCCCTCGTTGGCCACGTCGGCCCCGCCAAGTCCAACGTCCGGGTCGACGGGAGTTGGCTGTACTTCTTGGTGGTGCGTATCGGGGAGTTCCAACATGGAAAGAATAGGGTGTGTGAGGGGAATGCTCTCCTCTCTGGCGGGCTATCGCGGCGTCGCGTCTCTCCAACAGCTCGACCCTTTCAACGGCTTCGTTTAATTCTTCAGGGTGCTGAAGATAGAACTCTTTTTGGGCGCTGGTGGATGATGTGCCCTCGACGAGTTGTTCTAAGATCCGCCGATCGCGTTCGGAGGTGGACAGGTTTGGAAATGCGCGGTCTGCTAAATGTCGCAGAGTTCGCACGTAGGCGCGGACGTTTTCGTCAGCCAGTTGCCGGCGGGAGTGAAACTCCCGACGGTACTCGATCGCTAGTTTGGGGGTGTCTAAGAGTTGTCGGATTCTCTTAAAGGTGTCGTCTGTTACCTCGTCATCTAGAATTCGGGATTCGGAGACAATATCGAATGCTTCGCCGGTGAGCAGGCTATACACCAGGTCGGCGTGTTTCTCATGTGGAAAGTGCCGAAGGTAGATTTGTGTTTGCTTCTCCCATCGGTTATAATTATTACCGATTACGAACTTTTCCGGAATTGGGATCGGGGGACACGGTTTTGAAGATTGGCTGTACGTGGATAGACGATCCAGAATGCTGATTAGTGCAGGCATTACATCCGATGGCAGATCAGCTTCGCTTTTCGGTGACCGTTCGGAGTCGCCAGAAGGTTTTCCTTGGATTTTCATCCTGGCAGGGTCGCCAATTTGTAGTATGTACCAAACAGGGAGAAGACTCGGAGAGCTGGAACGAAGTTATATTAATACCAACGTAGCAACACTATAGGGATATGGAGTGATTATAATACAAAATGGTAAGGTTACGTGTGGGTGTTGTCTTGGTCCTTGTTCTCAGCGTCTTCTATCACGGTGTTAGCCGCCACGCAGTTTATGCCGCCTGTAAAGGGGAAATAAGAGTGCCTGTTAGTGTCACTTCGGTATCCAATTACCGAACGTCAATCAGTTTCGGTTTCACCCCACAGCCCATAAAAACACGGTTTTTTTAAACGTTCAAGGTCATTTGACCAATTCCCATTATCAAAGCCATGAACAAAAACCCAATTGGAGAGATATGTAGTGATCCTGATTGTACGAAGAAAAGAAGCGATCCACGAGAACGTTTTCCGTTCATATTTTCTTCACAATCAACTCTGACTCAAACTGATATTTCTTTGTTTTACTTCTGCTTGTTTTACCGAGCACAGTTTTCCGCTCCGGGTATATATAAGCTGGGTTCTGTTCAAACTCAGGCAACACGTGTGCTACGCTTTTGCTTTGCTACTGCATCTATTGCTTGCATTCTTTAGCGTCACCTCGGCACGTTTTGGTACTATCTAGTGTCACGATTCGCCAATAAACGTTCACGACTCCCACGAGTGTTTTTGTCTACGTCGGGCAACGAGACACTAGGAGGTTGCGCGCATTTTGAGACTCGGCGGGCCGTCAACACCGGTTAGCTTCAGATATATGGCTCAAAAGTTATTTCGCTTCATAAAGACCTCAACCATAACGCCAGATTCCATGCGGCAGCCAATAATCAAAAAATTAAATGGAAATTTATTTAACAAAAAAAAATTATTATTGATTTATATGTAGGGACTAATTCTCGGTAAAGAAATGTACCCAAACTCCATCAATAAGAACTGCACGTTTCATATAAATGTCAAAATCTATTCTGAATACTTTTCTGAAACTTTCTGTCTAAGATCATACACGAATATGAAATAAAACTAACTTTTGTCAGCTTTCGAATGAAGGAGACCAGCTTGCCGTACGTTGGCGCGCGGTTGAAACTTTTGACGCGCTCTGACTCGCTTTTTTTTGATCGTAAAAGTAAAGTTCAATTGCCGTAAATTGACAATTAACTGTGTTTTACACTTTTGTTTTCCGAGTTTTTCGATCGTAGTTATTTATTGTGCTCTGTCAAAGAACACATAGGAGCCCGGCCCAAAACTCCGGGGACAGACATTTAGATTCTGTAACTTGGATTTATGTAAAGCTTCTACGTATCGTATTCACCTTTCTTTTTCCATATCACTGTTTTACGTGGTGGACGCATTCTGGTTGTTCAGGTATTAGCAAAGACCGCTAAGTATTCTTTTGCGAAAATGGCTGGGTAGAGTGGAATTTTGAGAAGGGTAAAAACGAGGCCAGGTCTGCGTTCGTGAAACGGAGATCAGAGGCCAGAGGCAAACCGAGCAGTGAGTGTCTCGAGAGCTCTAAAAGGTTGGAACCAACTAAAGGAACCTTGAGGACTTACCCTCAGGTCGCCTCAAGCCAAGAAAAGAGTGAACCGCAGGGAGAGAGTTCTTGGCAAACGGTTTTGCCTAGGACCTGGAAGGCAGTAGCGGTATCCACACCGTTAAATAAGCCGCTACCTGTGGACAACTCAAAGGTAGGTCAGGGTGCGAACCGTCCCACGCCACGCCGCGGGTCCAAACCTGGAACGGGTAGAAATATTTCCTCACATGGGAATAGAGACAAGTTATAAGAAAAGCTCCAGGAGCTGAAGAAGCAAGTGAGTACCATCCTTGCAGTAAGTATCATGAAAGTTGAACTTCGTAGAAACCTTCTTATACTTAACAATGTGCAGCCGAATATAAGAGAATCAATGGCCCGTGGGGAACTGGACTGGCGTAGAGTCCATGACGTACTCAGGTTAGCTGAGCTCTTAGGAGATTACACCTGGTCGGAAGGTAGAAAACACCTCCCTCGGAAGCACCACAGCCACCAGCTAAACCCATACTGGTGAAGTTTGCCAGATCGCCATATAGGGATATGCTTCTATCCCGAGCAGACTTAGTGTAGAGTGCCACTAATGGGCGATATAAAGTAGTCCCTGAAGAACCTCACATGACGGAAAGAGAACGATTTGGGGCTAAGCTAAAGCAACTTCCCAAGGCACCACGGCTCTTAGCAAACCCGAATGTGGTTCTGATTGAGGACATCTTGGAGCATCTCACGTTAGTAAATGAGACTCAAATGGAATCAAATAATACCGCAGCCGGCCGGCCAATATTATCACCAGGACCAGCATGCGTTTCCAAGCTCCCCGACCTAGAGGAAACGGTGGTCGCAGTGGCAGCTGGCACCATATATCAACCAAAAAACGGACTGTCTACTCGGGTGTTGCGCCCGAAGAGAAAATCCGAATGAACAAACACCACTCGTTAGGGGACAGGG